GGATTTACTTTGTAGGTACAACCTAGAAGGAATTCCTGGTAGATTAGATATGATTGGAAATGAAATAAGATTTAAAATTGAATTCTTCAAACCCACTAGGCTCATTTCTGTTGCCCCCTGCCACTGGCCAAGCGCTGCCTTGTTGAACAGTACCAGAGGAGGAGTATCTCCATTGTTGCAGAAAGGTCTTTGGACAGCATTGCTCTAGGGAACGACTGCTACCCTTCAGCTACGTGGAATTTTCATGTTTCTTTGATAATTTTTTTTTTTTTTTAACCATCTCTTCTGTTTCTCATTTTCTGAAACTTCTGTTGATAAAATTTTGGACCTTCTGGATTTTCCAAGTCTTTCCTCTTTTTTGCCTATCATATTTTGATATCCTTATAATTTTTCCTACTTTTGGGGGGAAAAATTTCCATGATTTTATCTATAAACTCTTTTATTTCATTTTTATATTTGCACCCTCGAAGAATTTTCAAGTGTTCTTTTATTGTCAGAGTTTTCCTTTTTCTTCTTGTTTTTGTTTTATGAATGCAGTGCCTTTTCTGTGAATACCAATTAGAGGGTTTGTTTTATATTTTTAGTAAAACAAAAATAATATTTTGGACATAACAGTTTTTTGGAGCATCATTTTTACTTCTTCCTGGCTTCCCTTTTTTTTTTTTTTTTTTTTTCCCTGTATCTCTGGGACCATCTTTTGTGCTAGACACACCCTTTAGTGTCTGGTAGGTAGCTCTCAATTTCCGTGTCACCAAAAAGCCTTATTGGAAAGCAACTTGGGAGTTTTGTGTCTGTCACAGGACTGTTCCTGACAGTCTTTCCCTGGGGATTTTTTGGTGTTTGACTTTCTCTGAACCTTTCACTGTTGGATTTTGGTTTATCTGTCTCCTTACTTGTTGTCTGAATTATTTGTACCTGACTGGTTGTGTTCCACTGTGGTTCTGGGGAGGAGTGTAATGTGAGACCAACTGAACAGACTTCCAGTCAACCCCTGGATTTCATCTTCCAATGTGGCTGGTGTTTCTGAGGCCCGAACCTTTATGGAATTGTGCAGAGCAGATGGATTCTTTTCTTGGGTTGTAGTGGTAGCGCCATTCTTCTTTTGTAGGTGCTGTTCTTTGATTCAGCCTCCCTGGGTTCCAGAAGTGTGTCCTCTATCGATGGCCGTTCTTAGGGTCTTGATTATTATGTGTCTTTTATTTTCATTTGTTATTATTTTAGTGGAACCTTGGACCAGGGTCCACTTTAACTCAGAATTATGCTTTTAAAAAACATTTTTTATAAGTTATCCAGTGCTTTTCAATAGAGTGTATTACATAAGCCCATAGATAGTGCTGTTGCAGACTACAGCTTATCTATTGCACATCATCTGGCTTGTGTTTTGGATTGTTTTAAAATTTACGATAGGGCTGGGGATGTGGCTCAAGCGGTAGCGCGCTCGCCTGGCATGTGTGCGGCCCGGGTTCGATCCTCAGCACCACATACAAACAAAGATGTTGTGTTCGCCAAAAACTAAAAAAAATAAATAAATATTAAAATTTATGATATTCCTGTCCTCCTTCCATCCAAGTTTTTTTTCCTTGAGGTTTCTCTGTATCTCTGCACTAAACTATAGCATGTTAAACATAAAATTATACGGTTATGGGGATTTTAACTGAAATAAGTTATTAGGCCCAGAGAGTGGTATATGGTCAGGAATTTCCTCTTCAAATCTTGGGGAATTTAAATAGATACGTTTAAGTAAATGAAGAAAATGGAAGCCATTAAATTCAGTGCTATAAAAGAGTTTTCATGACATGAAAAGATATCATTTTTTAAAGAGAAATTACCAAGCAGTGCCAGGCATAGTGGTGCACACCTATAACCACAGCTATTTGGGGGATTGAGGCAGGAAGATCACAAGTTCAAGGCCAGCCTTGGCAACTTAGGGAGACCCTGCCTCAGAATAAAATAAAAAGGGCTGGGGATGTAGCTCAGTGATACAGCACCCCTAGATCTAATCCCTAGTACCTAAGGGGAAAAAAGTTACAAAAAAAAAAAAAGAAGGCAAAGCATCTGCTCTTGACATTTCTACAACATTCTGCTGGAAATCTTTGCCAGTGCAGTCAGGCAAGGAAGTAAAGGAATTGAGATTAGGAAGGAAGAAATAAAATTGTCCCTAATCCCAGATGACATGCTTGTCAAAACAGAAGAAAACCCCAAAGGATCTTCCAAAAAACAAACAAAAATCCCACAACTAATTTAAGTTTCACAAGATCACACAAAAATCAATCATATTTCTATGTATTGGCAGCATGCAATTGGAAACCAAAATACAGAAATACAGGACCTAGATGCTAAAACAACTACAAAACTGCTAAAAAGGAATTTATTTGATATATAAACCATTTTATTATTTGCCATCAACATTTTCTAACCTGTGAACTCACCTTAACTCTGAGGATAGACTCCATTATAGCAAGTCACTTTTTCATGCATTTACTTTGTATTGTATAAAATAGATAACACCAGTAGACCTTCATACACACATACACACACCAAAAAAAAAAAAAAAAAAGTGTATATTCACTATATTTATCTAATTTAAAAGACACTAAAAGTTCAAGTTTCAGCTCTCTTTTTCTGACATAAAGGATCAATCATATTCATAATGTGATTTGAAATTGAATTTTGTATTTCATCTAGGCATTCATCTCTGTCATAGCTGCTTTGGAACCATTACAGATAATGTTATACAGTTCGTTCCCAGATCCCGCTGTGCATTTCAGCTGAGTGATTTGGGGTTCTCAATTTGGAAGATATAAATGATACACATTTTCTGCAAAATTTAATTGAATATTATCTAATATCAGCCTCTGTTTCTTTCTGAGTTTTGGTTTTCCTCATTTAAGAAATGAGGAAATGGTTCATATATCCATCCATTGTTTATACTGCTGGTTTATGTATGTTATTTAAAGAAAAGGGACTTATAGAATTAATAGGTGAAATCATATGAGAATATTTAGTATTTGATATTAGTCTACTATATCACCAGTAGACTAGTATAACCTGCTCTTTCTGAGATCAGAATCGGCATTAGTTTTTTACTTTAATATTTGCACATAAAGACTTGAGAATGATTCCCTGCAGATTGTGATGGGCTAAATTCCCCCATAGAGTAATAAAAATAAACCCTTCTTTGTGATTCTAAGAGATAATTGTCTTCATTACAAAGCTTGATATAAAAGAGACTGGGAGCTATTGCAGGGCGGCTCTTCTACCTCAATCATGAAATATCAAATGTACTGATTACATTCATAGTTGACTCTAAATTAATCAGGATGGTTAATAGTCTCAAAACCAGGATCAATCAAACTAAAAACAAAACCAGGATCAAAATTATAGTGGTTTTGTTTTTTGTTTTTTGGGTTTTTTTTTTTTTTTTTTAACCATTGAAAACATTTCCTTTAAGGAAGAGTAAAATTAAAGTTGGATTTTTTTAAAAAAGGAAAAAGAAATAAAGATGGATTTAGATGTTTTTCTGAGACATAGAAGAACAAAAAAAATGTATGAGAAAAGGAAGGTGATAGTAGTACTTTGCCTTCCTCATCCAGTGCCTGAGACTGCGAATGCAGTGATCCGGCTAGTAGTGAAAGAACTGCTCTCTCTGCCCTTTACTCCTTTGGACCCACTCTCTTCCCTGCCTTGTATCCTAGTGGTTTCTTGGGTCTTCCCCTTAGACTGTTATTGCTTACACCCACACTTCCCCCGTTTAGTTGGCCTGAGGGTGTCTACCTGTCCAAAAAACATCCTACTATCACTGTGCCTTATCATCTCTCTCTCTCTTCTCTTTAATCCAACCTCCACCTACAATATTGGTGAAAGAAAGATTCCTCAGAATCAAAATTGACCACAAGTTGAAGAGCAAATTTATTATTATTGGGAGAAACTATAAAAAGCCAGTCCCATCCTGTCAATTAAGATGGATCATGTCATCTTTACATTATAGTAAAACAGGAACCCTGCTTATGCACCAGGAATGAATCTAAATGCTATGCACACTTAACTCATTTAATTCTCTCAACAGTCCCAGGGTACTGGGGGTAATTAATTTTACAGACGAAGTCCCTATGAGGTTAGGTCAGTTGCCCAGGGTCACACTGCTGGTGCAAGGAGAGCGTGAAGTCCCGCACAGCTGGCCTGGCTCCAAGTAGAAGCTGCTGCCTCACCTTGTTGCACACAGCCGTGCTGTTAGGACTGACACCGAGTAGGGTCACCAGAGGCAGGCAATGACAAATGAGAGTGCTTAGGTTACTAAGAAGCCTCAGAATGGCTGGGAAATAGCTGTCTGCAGAGTAAGGGATTTGGGGTTGTGCAAATTCAGGACATTTAGAGAAGAAGATATATGTAAGTTAATCTGATTTCAGACATGTAAAGAATATTTTGAGCAATGAATAGTCTCTGTCACTCGAACAAGCAAAAGAAAATGCAGTGAAGTCCAGTCAGAAATGCTTATGCTGGACAGGAAGAATCTTATGTTGCCACCAGGTCTAAGGAGAAATAGCTGGGGAGTTGTGAAGGCCCTGGAGAAGAGTCTAGAGCAGATGGCCCTGCTCAAGAAGCTACGATTCAGCTGATATGTGGCAACTTCGCCCATTTCGTTTTGAACAGCTGTGCTGCTTCTTTGTGTTCTTACTCCACTGATACCTAGAACAGAGTTTTAGAACTAGAGACAACTTGTTCAACTCCTGTGTTTTACAGATAAAGGAACAAAATCAGAAATCAGGCATGTATTGTCACAAGACTGTCTCACAGGACAGAGCTGAGTTTTGAACCCCAGTTGGCTGACACCATGTCCAGTTTTCAGACTGCTTTTTTTTTTTTTTTTTTTTTCCAGTCACAGAAGAGAACATTCTTGAGATTTTCTGCTTAATAATAAAATGAGGTTGCTGTGGGCCTGAAATGGGAAGGAGTGTGGAATAAGGTGTTGCAACTTATGAAATGTCCTTTTTTTTGAGTAGTATGAGCCCAGAGGACCTGGTCGGCCCTTGTACCAAAGAAGAATCTCATCTAGCTCAGTCCAGCCTTGTTCTGAAGAAGTAAGTGCTCCCCCAGACAGCCTGGCGCCGTGTAAAGAGCTTCAGGACCACGGTGACCCACCTTCTTTCAGCTTCTCAGCCTCAGAGTCCTGGGCGAACACCACCTCATCGGCCCCCTACCAGAACATTCCGTGCAATGGATCCAGCAGGACAACTCAGCCCAGAGAGTTGATAGGTAAGGCAGGGTAGGTGGGGCCCCAAAGTACAGTGGTTTTAACTCCAGTGCCTGAGTGTTGACAAGGCTTGCTTTCTTAGAAGAAAGTACAAGTAAATTAATCTGATTCCAGGCATATAAAGAATATTTTGAAGAAAGCAATATGTAGTATCTGTCAATGGATTGACTACAAAAAATGCAATGGTGTCCAGTTTGGAGGGTTTATGCTGGACAGGAGGAATCCTATCTTGCTATCAGGTCTAAGGAGAAATAAGCTGGGGAGTTGTGAAGGCCCAGGAGATGAGTCCAGAAGGGACTGAGGCCCCATTTGCATTATTATCTTTGAACAGTATTCAGTGCTCAGAGGTTGTGCCCTGGGCATAGATATTAATTTAGGAATATGTTGATTCCATTTTTCCATTGTCTGGAAAGTTAGTAGATATATCCTTGTTTAAAAACTGATTATTTTGACCTGTTGTTGAATAAAAGAAGTAATGGAACTTAAAATATAATTTTAAATATTTAGAACCACTTTCTCTTGAGAAAGTTCTGTTTTCTATTTTGGGAGATTTGTTTTGTTCCATCAGGCTTAAGGGTGGCAGTCGGCTGGGTGGCTAGCACTTTTAAGGGTTGGTTGTCAGCAAGCCATGGAGAGTGCACTGTATGATGCAGTGGCCATGGGAGGCCAGCAGCATTCCATCGGGTTTAGAAATCCTGTGTGTAGCCACACGTTGGCACAGGTGTCCACGGCTGATGAACAAGAGAGTGCGGGAGGCTGGGAGTGGAGAAGGCTCTGGAACTGGAACTCTACCTGGAAGGTCCAGAGCTTTTCTCTTTGACTTCAGAACAGGACTCCCTTCCATCTTTCCTCTGTTCCCTTTTCTTAAAAATTATATTCAACATAAAGAAACTATTACCTCAGTTTTCCAGTGTTCTCTTTGGAGGCCATAGACCTTGATCTCTGTGAACAAGTCTGAGATCTTTCTGTTCTGGTAGCGTCAAAATTAATTTTGTTCATCTTTAGAATGTGAATCGATTGTTACTGTAACTGACCCATTTTTGAGAAAGTGCTGCATAAGCATATTTTTAGAACAGTGGTCGTGTTAGGGCAAAAACATGTGAAAGGTTTTGCTTTTGTTTCGTAGTAAGAGATATTGTCATTTTCATCTTTCAGCATTCATCAATGCTTACTTTGTGTAAGCAGCTGTATTTTGCCTAGGGTTGCTTAGTCATTTTTAAGATATTATGTAAATACATTCAGGTTAGCATATTTAAAACATGTAAATTACAAATCAGTGGTGTTAATTTGTTACTTTTGCATTATTTTGTTTATTATAAGAAAGTTAAAAAATAACATCATTTCTTTTTTTTTTCCACCTAAGTTTTAGGTTAGCATTTGGCCAAAATAATTTAAAATTTGACCTGAGCTGATAGGGTAGAAAGTTCCTGAACAGACCCCTAAAGCTCAAGTCATTTATTATGTCTTTTCTGCAAATATAGGCTGATGATTACTTTCTTTATTGCTGGGAGATAAATTTAGTTTTTCTTAGATGAAAGTAATTAAGGATGAAAAAATCAATTCAAAATCACCAGTATTCAGAAGCATAACTTCTTGTTCATAAGTTTGTTTTTGTTCATTTGTTTTTTTGGAGTTGTTTATTTATTTTAGAGAAATGTAGTGGTGGTGGTACATCAGACAGAAAATAACCACCACATAAGAGTTTTGAGATTTGTTTCTTGAATGAAGAAAGTCATATCATGTTGCTTTTAAATTAAAAGAGATAAGTGTTCTAGGAAAATATTAAATCCTTTAAAATAATCTTGAACAATTTTTTAAATTTTAAAGTTTTAAATAGTACCATAAAGTTAGTATATTGGCTAAATGAAATACTAAAAATGAAATATTTTTGCCTGAACTCCAGATACTGTCAGGCAACTATTTCTGATGTTAAAATGCTTTTAAAACTTTGTCATATTGGGTGTGAAGTAGTGTCTATCAAGTTTTACCAGTGTTTTAGGAAATAATAAAACATTCTAGTATGGGTTTGAAAAAGAAATCTCGGGCTGGGTGTGGCTCAGTGGTAAAATGCTTGCCTAGTATATGTGAGGCACTGGGTTTGATTCTCAGCACTGCACATAAATAAACAAAAAAACAAATAAAATAAAGGTCCATTGACAACTAATTGTGTGTGTGTGTGTGTGTGTAAATATATAAAGTAATCTTAACAGGGTTGATTGCTTGGTTTTGAGAGGGTCTCACTATGTTGCCAGGCTGGCCCTAAACTCCTGGGCTCTAGTGATCCTCCTGGTCCAGCTCCCCTTTAGTTGGGACCACAGGGCCACCACTCCTAGCAACAGGGTTTCTTTTTTCTTTTTTTCTAAACTTATTTTGAATTCAGGAGTAGAACAGCCTTGTTAAATATCGTAGACTTGTAGATCTAGAGAGGGAAATATCCATTCTCCCTCTATTTGGTAGTTGTCTTGAGCTACACCTGCAGGAAACAGAACTGACTCAGCCTAGCTCAAGTACAAAGACTTTGATCGGCAGTAAGGTTCAGGAAGCCAATTGGATTCATGAGAAGACCTGGATGGTTTTCTGAGATATTTATTCTATGTAAAGTACACAGCACAAAGTGCCTATCCTCTAGTAAAAACTCAGGTACTAGATGTGATTATCCTGACCTCCCTGAGCAGGCCCCATGGCTTCCTTTGTGGACTCACTCCTTTCTTCTGCTCTGCTTTGTGGATCAGTCTTCAGATTGCTCTGCCTTCTTCCTGTGTGTTTAAGTTGCACATTTACGGCTTTGAGCGGGCTCCACATAACTGAGTTACAGGTCTCTGTCTATCTAAATTCTGATAAAGAATGAAAAAAGCTATGGTTTTGTGGGCAACAGCACTGGTTAGAAATGATGAAACCAAACAAAGGTCTTGAAAGTCAGGCAGATGATAGGGAATGTGGCAGCTTACAGCCTTTTCTTTCCCTCACTTACTCCATGCTTGCTGATACTGTATTACAGGGAAGCACGGCACTGTGAGCAAATGGGATCTGTGCCACTGATTAGTTAGGATAGTATTCTGAGTTATTTTGATCTGAAGTTTGCATATGTAGCTCTTTTTTATTTAAGGCAAAAACATATTTACAATCTGTGAGCAGCTAGTATGATAAGTATAAAAATACAATTGTAAAAAGTATTTTTTATTTCTCAGCAAGGCTTCACATTTGACCTTCAGTTTTTTAAAAATTTATTCTAATTTGTTACATATAACAGCAGAAGGCATTTCAATTCATATTATACATGTAGAGCACAATTTTTCATGTCTCTGGTTGTACACAAGGTAAAGTCACACCACTCATGTTTGACCTTTAGTTTTTACAGGTTAGCTATCCCAGCCCATGGTTGTTTCATGTGTCTAATAGGTAGAGGAGTTTGGTTAGATGTGTTGTGATTGCAGCATTTTGTGCCGGAGTTTGACCTTGTGGCTACACTGTCTCTCCCCAAGTTCCTGGAGATGATTCCTAGCTCTGAGCCTCTGAGCTGGGGACACGTGTGAACACCACCGGGCGGGTCCTTAATCCAGTGTTGCTGTTCTCTGCTTTTAGCTCCACCCAAGACTGTCAAACCCCCTGAGGATCAACTGAAGTCTGAAAACCTCGAGGTGTCCAGTTCCTTCAACTATAACATGCTGCAGCATCTCGGGCAGTTCCCACCCCTCATGCCCAACAAGCAGATCGCAGAGTCGGCCAACAGCAGCAGCCAGCAGAGTCCGGCAGGCAACAAGCCAGCCATGTCCTACGCCAGCGCACTGCGGGCACCCCCCAAGCCCAGGCCCCCACCTGAGCAGGCCAAGAAGAGCAGTGACCCCCTGTCTCTGTTCCAGGAACTCAGCTTGGGGAGCTCCTCCGGCAGCAATGGCTTTTACTCCTATTTTAAATAATCACTTTTTTTTTCCTCAAGGGAGAATGTTTTAATTTCTGTTTGTATGAATAGAATTAAGGTAGTTGGACTTCACCTATAGATGCACAGTTTCCTTTGTTTTAATATTAAATATGTTCTCACTTAATTGCTTTGCTGCTAGACTTGCAACTAATTTTTTAAAAGTATATTCCATTATTTTGCATTTTTGATGTGAGTCAGAATTTTGACAGCTTTTATGTAGAATAAAAGATATTTTTGAATTTGTGTATTGTTACATATGTTTGCATCAAGCTAGCAGCTAAGAGGTTAATTGTGCAACTATAAAAAAAAAAGAAAAAAAAGTTTGTCTAAAATGTATTTAAAAAGAAAAAAAATTGTAAGTAGCATTTACATTTATTCAATAATATTACCATATGCTGGGTTTCTGTACCAGAAATGGCCAGTTGATGTACAAATGTATGTTATTTTTGCTCAAATTCATTTAAAATTTTTTTAATAAAGGGGCAGCATCTTCTAAATACTTTTAAGTTTTATCAGCTTTTTTTTTTTTTTTTTTTGTGACAGGATGCTGCATTCTGAAACTTTTATAGTTTTAGACTCTGTGATATGCTGTTGTAATCTCCATCCACCGTAGGAGAGAATTAAAGGCATTCTTTGCAGGTGTATTTTGTGTGCCACTGTTTTTTGAAATGTGAAAAACATTGGCATACTTAGTTATTTTTTTGGACAAGCTACACTTCAAGCTTGTTTTTAATGTTAATTTGATAGTGTGTTTTTTTTTTTAAACAAATCATGAAGCTGAAAAATTTTTAGGATTGTTGGTGCTTAGTAGACTTGATAACTATTTTAAAAATGCGTGAATTTAGTAAAACCCTTTTTTTCTCACTATGCATGTGTAAATGTTTGTAACCTGGCTTCCCCCAACTCCAGTGGTATAAAGAATTGTGCCGCTTAAAGATTTGGGTTTTTTTTTCCCTCCAGTAAAAATTTTGGTACCTTATTTGATGTTTACATTAAAATGTGACATTATACATGGCGATTCAAATATTTTGCTAGTTGTTTTGTTTGAGGAACATCATTAAAGAAAAAGTATAATGTTTGTCAAAAACTGATCAAAATTCATCAGAATTTGGGGCAGAAACTACTCTTGTTTTTATGTATTTCAATTCTTCTAAAAAATCCCTATTGAACTTATAAAAAACTATAAAATTTGAATAACTATCTTAAATATTCTACAGTCTGACAATTGTTTTGAATGAACTTTGGTAAAATCCAAAGGAAAATGTTTACCCTCTTAAAATTTGTGGTCCTATTATACATTTGAAGCAATGCATGTCCTGATCATTTTCTTGATGTAGTAGTGATACTTTTGTATTTCAGAGATATCTTGAAACTACAGTGTAACTTTTTTTTTTTTTTTTTTAAATAAGATAAGGCCGGGAACATTTCATATGAACTGAACCTCCCTGAGGATCCATTCAAAAATAGTTTTTTGGAAGACTACTTTTGATAGACCATCCTGTATTCACAATACATTTTTAAAACAGGGTTGAAAGTGACAAGGGTAAAGAAAAGCTACTTATATCTCTTAAGTGACTAGAGGTTAGTTCCTGTTGGCCAGCTACAGCTCCCTGTTGTCCTCAGATAATTTGGGATGAATGTGTGCCTTTGGTTAAAGGATAGCAAGCTGTAGGACAAACGAAGCGTGCCTCATGTCAGTTCTACTTTTCTGCCCAGAGTACGGTTCATCTGTAGTGGCTTCATAGCGAGTGATGTGGGTTTCTGTCTGGGTGGCAGAGGTAAACGTGGAGACTGCAGATGTGTCAGTCACAGGTGGAAAGCAGCCAGTGAGTGAACAATGGCCCTGGCTTTATCTGTACAAGGTCACATGAGCACGTTTAGCTATGTCAGTTTTGCTTAGCCTACTTCAGCCAGAGGAAGGAAGAATTGTGCCATATTGCTATGTATTTGGAACTCTATACAAAGCTCAAGACATAGCCTGATTGAAAATTAGGTCGCCCCAATGTGAGATGTCTGTGAAAGATAGTTGTCCCATCAGTGATGATTTCCCCTTACACCCATGCAGTATGCAGGACAACCCAAGCTGGATGAATGTTCCAAAGCATTTTGATGATATGAAGACAGAATTGTACTGTCTGGGCCTTCTGCTAACCTCTTGTCATGAGGTTATCGCCTCATTGTCTGTTTTCCGTACTTGAATCTTCAACAGTTTTAAATTATTTATGTGTCTGTTTAGTTAAGGAGGTCATGTGCACACCACCTCATATAAATGTATTGATGAGGGAAGTGGGTTAAGGAAGCTGGTAAGTGGCTTTGCCATTCTATTCTTTAGCAGTTATTTCTAAAATGAACAATCAGAGCTATTTATTAGTCCATGCTCTAAGTGCCCAGGCATTCCTCATCTCCCTCTTCTACAGCTAGCCAAGGATTTGAATGCTTCCATCCGACACTTTTGTCATTCTGGATTAAATGCTCATTTTAACCCCTGACAAGCTTCTTCTTTCTCAGTTTAATGCCCTCTTTCCAACTGTGCTTTAAAGAATCTTTTTCATGCACAGTGTCTTGTAATGGTTTTGAGCAAGTCTTGCTACAAGAATCATTGCAAGTTTCCATTGAAATGAGGCTTGGCTTCTATGCTCTTTAGCAGCATTTGGGTACGATTAGCAGGTACACAAAAGTCATACTTATAAAAATAACTTGTTTTTTTATTCCATATCTTAGGTTCAACCTTAGAGCTCAGAATGAAAACATAGACACACTTTCAAGAAAACTTGATGATAGCTCTGAGATAATACCAATTATTACCAACTTCCTTTTCCAAAACAGAGGTTGATTGTTCGCATGGTTTCTTTTTGCTTCTTTGTTCTTTGAATCACTCTGAAGTTTCCTTGTTCTTGCCAGAACTATTTTTTATTCATTTCACTTTTTAATTTCAGTGCAACTAAAGATGTTTTCTTTTAATCTTCAGTTCTTTGGGGTAATAGTGTGTATTCATGCTAATTTTTTTCCTGATCTAAAAATGCATTTTTGTTAAGATTTGAAGAGCCTTTTTCACTGTAATGTGGATATTTTCCGGTGTTTTGTTTGTTGCTTTGGCATATGCTTTGTCAAATTGTTAGAGCAGAGCTTTGTTTTTGACTAGCCAGTAGTTAATTATTGACCATTTAAACTAACATAACCCCAGTTTTCCTTTCTTCACGCAGCTTTGCTTTTTGTCCAGGTCATCTTGTGTCTGTGAAATACCAAACTGCTGGCAGTATGTTTTTATCATCAGAGACGCTAGAGTAAGTTCAGGTTTGGTGTAAACATCAACTGGTCTTTTCAGTTCAAATAACTGCAGAATAAGTAAAATAAGTAGAATTCCCACTGACTAAGCATTACCTACTTAAACACAGCAACCTTAAGACCTATTTATGAAAATAGTTTCCTTGTTTATGAAGGCATTGAAGTTGCTGAGAAAGCTAACTGAATTTTCTAACTTTGAGATAATTAATATATAGTATTGTGGTGTTCTAGTGTAGTTGATTTTATATGTTTTCAATATTTTTCACCTCAAGAGCAAAGCTATACTCATAAAAGAATGTATCTCTAGCCATCTTGGCAAAAAGTCAGGGTGTGAAAACAATATCCAGATCAATTTTAGTATGGTTATTAAGAAAATTAGATTTCCTGAAATAGCCATTTAAAAAGAAACAGCCATGGTAGCATTGTTCCATCGTGAGGTTGTTTTTATAAAAAGGAATCCCAGAAAAATTCACAAAAGACATGTTAAAAACGTTGAATATATCAAAAGGTGAATTGCTGCTTTAAACAGTCACTTAGGTCGACCATCTCCTTTTTTCCTCTTTCCAGCTCCTCAGTTTGTCATAATGTATCTGCTCTGATCTCCCAGACCTCATTTCTGGCTAACAGTCCCCTTAACATGAGAAACTCCTCAGTTTCTACATCACCCTGGGTGTCTTCCTGAATCCTGAGGCAAAGTCTTCATGGGTCTGATTGTCTCTCCCCTCCTATCCCATGATCCATGTTCAGACAGCCTAGAAGCTAGAAATCCCTGGACGGTGTTTTATAATTTATCTTGTTCAAAATATCACCTGGTGGTAGTGGCCACACGTTGTAAAGGAGTCAGAGTAGGTGGCACCTCAGTCTTCACAGTGCCCAGCAGGATAGGCTTCTCCAGTTGTCCATCTATGTGAGAGTGGACATTTATTTGCTGAAAGTTTACTGTAAAGCTGTTAAATTTACACTTACCACTTTCACCCCTGTTTAATTAGCAATCTCAAGACCTTTGCTGCACAGAAAGAATCTTAATGAATGTTTCACGTTCTTAAAAACACATGTAGAAAATGGCATTATGTTATTACATTAAGCTAGAATATTGAATTAAACATGTTAAAAACCAATTTTAATGTAACATTTAAAAGTTTTGAACTTCCTGAAAATATCAACTTTTGAATGATCTTTAAAGAAACAGCTGTTAGAGCTCCAAATTGTTTTTGAAGGAGGTACCGAAGAGAAGAATCTAGACTTACAAATGTGAACTGTGGTTAAATCCCAGACCCAGTTATACAGTGGTACTCTAGACCTTCTAAAACTGGAGTGTTAGGAAAACCCAGAGATGTTCATATAGTTTCAGTAATCAGAGTTTTAGACCAGACTTTATTTGGGATTTGTTCAACAGAGAGATTTTATTTTGATACAAATATTAAGCATAAAGCATAGTAAGTTTTATATAATTCTATGAGTTCATTAAACAATATTATGAAATTTTCATTATGTTCTTGGGGAGTCTTTTTAGCTATTTCTACCTCATGTATGAGGTCTCTTCTGTATTTTATTTTGCATATTAGCATGTGATTGCCTGCCTTAGAAATATGTATAGGAGGGGAAATCAATATTATCTTTTAAGAAATTTTTGGTTTTACAAAATAATTGTTTTTATTAATACGTTAATGTTTGAGAAATAAGGGGGAAGGGTGGCAAATGACATAGGTTTCAACAGAGTAGTATCTATATACAAACCTGTCCTATTTAAGATTTTAGAATTGTGACAGGATAAATGAAAAAAAGAAAAAAAAAAAAAAGTGGTTCTCAAACTCTAGCCAGCATCAGACTTACCTCAAGGTTTAGTTGAAGCACAGGTTGCTGGACCCCACCCCAGAGTTCCTGATTCTAGCAGGCTGGAACCTGATCACTGGCATTTGCAACAAGTTCCCAGCAATGTTGCCAGTCCAGGGACCACACTTTGAGAATCACTGGTCTAGAGAAAGTCTGAAGGTCTTTCCAGCCATGCATTTATTTACTCAATATAAAAAAACAACAACTGATCTTTTGAGTCATTTTTATAATTCTGATGCCATGAGTGGCACATTCATGGAGAAAGACTCTGCTTTTGGATTGGCTGCCACCCCTCTTCTCCTCCCCAGTGGGGTCTGTGCTGCTCTTCCTCATTAGGGTGAAGGAGCTTTTTCACTTCCGGGGTGAGTTGGTTTTGTGTACACTGCTGCCTGGACTTTGGTCTGGAAGCTGTGTGTGTGTTTGATGTGCTTAGAGTCGATCTTGATGATCCCTGCACGTGGAGACGAGAATTATGGAAAGAAGCCATCAGCATGTCACGAGAGTGCACTTTGCATTTATCGAGGCACTAAGTACAGGAGTCCCTGTCCTGAGATGGCAGTGACATGGAGCATTGAAAATGATAGATAATACCCAAATAATGTATTCTGTAGGTTTTTTTTTTTTTTTTTTTGGCGGGGGGAGGGGAGGGTGAGGGCAAAGGATTTGCTTTTCAAATCGTGTGTTTCTCAGGTTAACAAAGTTATTTTAGATTCTCTGCCATGCCAGCAGGTGTTAGGGAGAGGTGGTGTCTATGGCAGAAAATAAATAATTGTTTCTGATTTCTTTGCTACCTTTAAAAAAATCTGTTTGCAAATCAGTTTTGGGGAATCTACCACCTACACAGCATGAGTTATTCATAAATATACATGTATGAGCAAGTTATTTTTGAGAAAGAAACTGCCTGTCACCTAGTAAATCTGACAGGTCTTTGGATATTTTTACATTTGTGTGGTGTTGTTTTAATATCCAACCTGGACTGCACCATGGGGGTAGTGGGCTCTGCTTCTGGTTTTTAGTTTGGCTTTGAATTTACTGAGATAACTAGCAAAAAAATAAAATCTATTTTTAAGGTAATAGAGTATAGAATGA